ATAATTTTCAACGTATTGACTTAAACTGATAAATAACAGAGAGTTAATTTCTTGACCTAGGGCTTCTTTTGATATGTTATCATTTTCTTAATTAATGAATCTATTTTGAAGGAATGCTTTAAGCCAGAAATGAAGAAAATACAACAATTTTTCACCTTTGTCGTTCGCTGCAGTTCCACACTTATGTCAATGACTGGTCAGGAGTTACAAATAATAAAATTTGTCACCAACAGATCCAAGCATTTTTTCTTCCACGAAAAATATTTGTTAACATGCAATGAATTCAAAAGCCATTTGAAATCGAACACTTGAAAGTTAGCTAAAACAATTTTAAGTAATTATCATACATACTTAGATATAGGTAAAAAATATGCCTTAGAAAAGCATATTGATGAGATAGGAGGCAACGTTCGTTCCGAATTCTTCGAAATTCAAATGATAGTTTTTAGCAGTATAGGTCATTTTAACGGTGAAATACGGTAACCAGTGGTTTCAGTTAGAGTTGTGACAGTGAGTTTTTCTTCCCTCTAAAGTTCTTAAATATGAAATAAAGTTGAGATATCTTATATAAATTATCAACTGAGTATATCACAAGCCGGTTGGTCGATCTGCATGAACGTCAGATCTGACCCAAAGAAAGTTGGTGCATAGCAGTTTGAAAGATTATTCGAAAATTGTAGATAATATCGTACAATGATGTTGTTCACTGATACTAACCATAATTGTGGATAGTAGTTAGAAACATTTGCTAAGTATTTAGTACATTGTCTTCACAAAAACCAGTTCCGAAGAAATTCACTTTTTGCAGAGGTAGAGTTAAGTTCCTTTTTAACCACCAATAATACAAACAAATTATCCTTTATTATCCAAGATAGCCGTGGTTTGACAGACTAGTAATAATAGTGGGTGATTGAAAGCTAAACTCTAAGAATAACTCTCGTCGTTGATAAGTGTCACAGAAAAATAGAATATCCAAGAAAACCACTCTTTTATATAAAAAACAAAAACCACTGAACTTCACCGCTAAATTGTTGAAAATAATTCAGGTTCCCTATTAGTTTATTCAGAAAGGAATGATGAAAGAACCAGTGATTAATGCATAGGGCTTTCTTTGCATTCATACTTACCTTGAAGCGCAATATCACAAACTAATAACTGCTCTAGTCTAATGTATTTGAATATCTAACCTACTGTAAGTTTACCAATTTACTTACAACCTTAAAAACCAATGAGTAACAAAAAAGCTAACAGAATGGAACTCTGTAGATTTCCTAAATAGTTTTCAACAACTTCATGTTTGAGTAGAAAAGATGCTTATAGAATCACAGTTATCAGACGAAAAGCAGATACAGGATGTGAAATTCCCTTCAAGTGATCATTCGAAGTAATAAATGCCAAATGAACTTTAGTTAGCAGTATCCATCGCAAGGAATAGCCACTGATCTATCATAAGTAATAGGAAAAGACCGTGATCAACTCTGGTTTGATCTAGTAGGCTGACTTTTGCTTTTTTGAGTTATTTAATATTTGCTTTATTTTATTCCTTAAGTCCTTAGTTTCAAGGTGGTATTGCCCAGAGACTGAGAGCCACTTCATCCTAGTGTAGGAATCATCGGTAGTGAGCACTAATAATCATGTGAAGAATCAAACCGAGGAAAGTCATGTCTCGTTGCAAGTGAACTACCACTCATCACTGAAATGAAATCCAGTGACTGATATGCTTTTAATTCGTCACTTTGCCACAAAGCGCAACCATCATCAATGCCATCGGCAGGTATTTGTCCTCATACTTGATTCGGATGACCGCACAGGTAACAAATCATTATTAGAATCTCGAAAAATTCATCTCAAAGTTCAAGAGAGTGACTAAGTTGAATCCAATCAATCCCAACAAGCTATTATCTGAATCCAAGTAGTTAAATAAGGTAGATTTATATACTTTCAAAGTCCCATTCTTTCTGATCAAACCTTCATCATTGTAAATCCTTTTATAAAAGGTTTTCATTTCTTTCCCATTTACGGTATTTCATCTTTTATCATCTAATAGCAAGCTTTGATTTTGATTATTGTAATTTACCTTTCGCATTTTGAAAACACACTGTAGGTAAAGTTATGTTAGTTCCCTTCACGTCATCTTCGAAACATCAGGCTATGATTTTTACGATAGGTAGTCTACAAGCAATATTATGTCGTCCTATTTTGTATTGTCTTTTTCAACATATTCCTCGAAAAGGTAATGACATTTAGTAACATTATTCTGAATCGATAACATTTCAACATTTCACAGTTACTTGAGGCAAAAAGCAGTTGTCATACAAAACTCTCATGACAAAATGCTATCAAAGTCTTTAAATGTAAACGTTAAGTAGCGTTTCGTATAACTTTCGAAAGCAGTAATTATTAGCTTAAAGTTCTATTATTCCTATGTATACAACTAGATTTTGGAAAAAAATTATGCCTAAATAGGAAGTCAGGAAAGCCCCAAAAACATTTACTTGAATTCAAGTAAAACAAGTTACTCAGCAGATTTAATTCGTCTGTATACTTTATGTTTGACTTGTTCTTCTCACAGTTTCGACTTGAATGCCTATTATATTACTGAACAGGCTTCAAATTGTTTTGTGTGCGGCTGACAGTGTATGTATAATTTGAGCGAGTGAAGCTGTACCAAGTATTGAATAAATGCTTACCGAAATATTTTTCAAACAACACATACGACACAACGGATGAGTCAGTTATAATCCATTGATCAGTTTATTTAAGCTCGACAGTTTTCAATAAGTTAAGTCGTGTCTTGAATACCAGTCTCTTACTTGATATTGTGTTGTATAGATTTAAATCTCAGAGGGAAAATTGGTTTTCTCTGTTTTGGGATAAAAGTCGATGATAAGAACAGAAACGCCTCAAATTCACTGCCTCCTTCCGACTCTATTTAGACATCTTACACCAAAACAGATGCAACAGAATTTATTCCAATGGATATCCAAGCAAATAATATTATGGGCCGCAGAATATTAAGCTCTCGGAGGACGCCTAAGGCTGAACTCAAGTAACAAATTGATAGATTCAGAACTACCCTACATGAGTATTGCTGATCTACTAAGTACCATGGTTCCTTTAAATATTATCGTTTTGCTGTATATATAACAGTTTGACATGGATGATCATTATTCATTTATATATTTGGAAGTTGGAGCTTGATATATTCAGAGGAACTTTTTACATGTTCTGAACTAATTTCATTCTTTACAAGGTCACTCATCAGAAATTAAGTGACATTTGTTCAGACTAAACAAGATGCTCCATAAGGCGTATATAAACAGTGTTGTTTTATCCTTTTTGGGGATATCAGTAATAACGTAAAGCTGTATCGCCGAGGTCACTATGTTAACATACAAACAATGCGTAACAAATCTTATTAAAGTTGTTCAACTTTGTTGTTAGGAGCAAATTATCTGAAAGCTTCGAGTTGTATTCTCTCCGTTTTAATGTGATATTTTGAAGAACGAGGAGTTAAAATCATTCTCTGCTGTGTTTTATTTTCATAGTCAAAAGCTGTTTTTCCGAAGAGTATTTAAGTGAAAATCTAAGCATCTTATTCTGAGCAGATAGTATATTCATATGAATATCATAGATTTATACCTTCTCTTTATTCTTATTACATTCAGCAATGATGATAATTACAATATTCAGCATTCGGCAGTTTGCGAAACATTGTGTATAGTACATCTACTGCATAAAATCAATTTGAGCTGTTATCAGGCATTTAGCAGAACACTTTATTTGTGAATACTACGAACATGATTCTATCCAATAGCGAATACTAACCAACTTCCTTAATCTTTTGATTAAACGAAGATTCCTTGATGAAAATCAAGTCTCTATCTGATTTATTTCGGGTTAATATTCATCGTGTACTGATATGAGTTTTAAAAAATGGAAATCTGGAAGCAATGAACAGCTAATTCTTCCTAGCATGGGACCCCTCAGCAGTGTGCACTCATGACCCCGTCAAAATCGATTCTATGAGCTTAAGTTTCCACAGTCAGTGTGTTATTGTTAGGCCATTATGTCAGAATCCAGTGGTCCATATTTCCTATTTTTGTCATTTCACAATATATCTCATTTACAATCTAAACTGATTTTTAAAGTAAAGCAAGTAGAAAAGATTCATTCTGCTCCGGTGAAATCCCACTGCAGTTGCTGAAATAGAATGGTCTTTTTCGACGAAATTTAAAACAGTTGCTAGCATGGCCTAGAGTAGTCACTTCTGAGACTGGTTAGTGGTGATTTATGGTGACTCATGGATAACTGCTTTTCAGTTTGAAAGTTTGTGAGGATATACTGATTTCAAGGCAGAATTTTTCACAAACTGATACCAGTTGGAGGACCATTGAAAACCTGAAGGCACTGGACAGTTGCTTCACCCTAGTATGGGAATTCTCAAAAGTATGCACCTACGACACTACCAGGAATCGAACACACGACCTCCAATTTTCATGACTAGAACATGATTCAGAAACTGATGGTTCTTATTTTTCTACTTTGACTTTTATATAATGCCATTGCTGAGTATTCATCTTCACGACCTACTTGTTTTGCTTCACCAGTCATAACTTCCCGTTAAAACTTCGGTAGGTTTTATCTCAAAGCAAGTCATTACTCAGCTTCAGATTGTACTTCACTTTGGCTGTTTGCAGAGATTGTATGTATTAAGACCCAGTTACTCAATGGTTTCGTGCTCACCAGGAAGAATGAATGTCCTGGGTTTTATTTCCAGTGATGCCATAGGTGCCTGTTACTTGCTGTCCCACACTAGAACAAAGCGGCTGTTCAGGACTCGTGCGTTTCCTTTAGTAGTTTTCTGATTGATATCCATCCGTCATGAATATCACCTTCTGCTTAGCAAGAATTACCCCGGTTCCTTTATTTTTAATGTTGATTCAATTTATCTCGTCATAGTGAATTAAAAAACCAATTTCTGTTCAAAAAAATCTTAGGTGAAATCAATTGATGAACTGCTGAACCTAATTCACCATCGATCTGGAAGTGGTTTAAGACGTATTGAATTGTCCAGTGACTTAGTTACTATACCAGTTTTAGAAGAACTCGGAAATCGATGTCCAAATCTTCGTTATTTAACTCTGGATTTTAGCAATGCTATGCAACTGCATGACTTTAATGAACTGGCTGCATTTCCTTCATCAATTAAATATCTATGCATTTGTTTAAGTGATGTCATATTCATGGAGGGTTTAATGAGGAAAATATATCCTTGTTTATCAGCTGTTGAAGTCTTACATTTAATTGGTAAGTTGCCCATTAATCTATTGTAGAATAATTTTTGATTCTATGCATAGTACAGACAAATACTTTTAAGATTTATCTACAAAAACTTTGATTTGGTAGAGTGTTTTGTTTTTACGTAAGCTTTTCACTCAACCCTTGGATTCCGCTTGCAAACATGTCTTGAGTCTTTGGGTGGGGAACTTTTTGGTGGGCATGGGTCGTATAGGTTGCGTGTGACCTCTTTCAGGGTCACAAATGGCTTTCAAGTGTCTGCTGGCTTTCAATTATTCCCTCAATGATTTGATCCAAGATTAATATCTGAAATTATCCAACTTTAAACGGTCCTCCAAGAGGAATTATTGAGATGTTCTGATGCGTCTAACTTGCAGTTTGGTGACCATTTCAACTGACTTTGTTGGTGCAAACTATGTTTCAGAATCACTGACAGTTTAAAGCCCTAATAAATCAAAGAACGTTATAAGTAGCATTTATTTTAAGTGTTTTAGAAGTTAATATTCGCTAAAATAATTACAATCCATGTAAAAAATGATCTGGAGTGGGTAGAGGATTTTTTTCCGTAATCAATTTACGGAAAGAAATCATCAACGGTTAATCAGTGACACAGTAATGTGATGTAATATCGGTTGCCTACACTTTTCTCGAATTTGTAACATATCTGAAGACAGTGTTTACAAATGAAAAGGTATAAATAACTTAATTAATTTTCGAAAGCTGGTTAATTTATTTTATGCAAACAGCTGAATATTATTTGGAATTTCAACTGGTGACATGGTGCAATACATCATCTGTTAAAGTGGGTCTTATTTTCTTCACAGAAGTCTTTTAGCCATGAAAATCATCAGTGCTGTAGATTATTATTCATGATTGTGAATTTATTATGCTAATTAACTACAGAAAGATTGGTTGGTATAATCCGGTTGTTAGTAGTTATAGAATTGAAATGTTTTTGAAATACAATAAATGATAGTCATTGTTTTAGTTAACTGAAATGTGAAACTGGTTGACCTCATGTATTAAATATGTTCTATAAAATGTTCGTTAGTTACTTATTTGTTGACTAAGGAAATTCCAAAATATTTGACAATTTTTCTATATGCTTAAAGGTACATTTGAATTAGCTACAGAAGAAGAGGAAGAAATATATGAAGTAAGTGGATTGTCCTACAATTTTCTTGTTTTGTGTAGACTGTTTAATAAGTTTTAACTTCATGAAATAAACTCCTCACACTTTTACCTGGGTTGAGTACTTATATCAGCCAGATAAGTCCGGATAAACATAATGACATTTATATGGTTCAGCAAGTTTAAGAAATAATACAAGTTGTCTGATTAAAGGTATCTTTAGTTATGTATTTTAAGCTTCGTCTGAGGTACATTATCAGAAGTGGACGTAGAATCAGCCGGATAATTGACGGAATTCTGGCTAAATGTACAACTGAGTATCAACGGAAAACAAATTACAAAGAACAGATGTTATGATTATCACGACAATGGCGTAGTTGGATTTCATTCTTTGGTTCAAAGGTGGCAGCGTAACTTGGTGCACCTAAAAATATTTTTCATAACCCAGCAGTTTGAAAGCGATGGGGAATACGATATATTTGAGCAAATGGTGTCAAGACGACGAAAGTGGTTAACAAACGTTTAGCGAAATAATGAAAACCAAAATGGATACTTATATGGCAATTCTTGACTTTATTTTCTCCTATAAGGGAAGTTAAATGGTCTGAAAGCCTTGAAGATTTTTTTGATGTTTCATTGTTGTAGCCACGTATGAAACCTTCGTTTATGAAAAAATTATTCTATTTTTGTAGGAATGTATATTAAGATTGATCCTAAAAAGAATAAAATTGCTTTCCGATTTCTTGGAAGTATTTAAAGCTTTGAATGATGAATTAATCATGGAATTCCAAAAATTTCGTTTTGATTTCCCTCTTGAAATAAATTACCGTTTTTGTATAAGAAGATACACAAATATTGTGGAATGAATCAAATCATTTCTTGTGCTTTACATGGTCCACACATACACTAAATTTAAAATGGTATACAGTAAGTTATCGGTTTCCAGCATATTATATGCAATCATGCCGATACGATAAACTTTTCATTTGACGGTCTGAAGGATTTATTGACCTTATATCTAAAAAATGTTCTTTTCCAGTTTAATAGTTTGTATTACAGACAGACGAAAGGTGCTGTTATGAACAGTCCTCTTGGTTCTTTATTTGCAAGCATATTCCTAGACCACCAAGGGAATACCAAACTAAGTGATTAGATCAAATCGATAAGACTGAATTTGAGATATGTGAATGATACTTTCATCATATATGAGAGTGAAGTCCACGCAAAGAACCTATTTAAATCAATGAATTCAGTTTTTTCAGACGTGAAATTCATGTACGAAGATAAAACGTTAGGTGAAATAAACTTCATGGATATGAGTATTAAAAGAAAGGAAAATGGTTCGGTACTACACAAGATTTATCATAAGCCTAACTGGACCAGTCAATATTTCTGATTTAACAGTTTCTGTCCCGTTGGTTATAAAAGAAGTCTAGTCAAGACTTTATCTTTAAGGGCAAATAGACTGTGTTGGAAGGAAGTCATCGAAAATGAATTGGAAAATATTCTTAAAACTTTGTTAGATAATGGATAACTCATAAAGTTCATTAATAAACACTTTAAATCTAAAAACAAGAAATCGAATGATAAACGATGTCGAATAACAACGTGTTCATTAGACTACCATTTAAAGACGATTAATTAGGTCCATAAAATAACCACCAACTGTATACATGCATCGTACTAACTTATTCAGCTGAGAAACTAGAAATTCTCTATAACAAGAAGAAAATGATCAGAGAAACTAATTTAGATGTGAGAACTCCTCATGTTACCTTCAGTTGTATTTATCTGTTTATAAGTACTTTCAGTACCGAGAGGGTCTTTACTAAACGAATCGCTGAATATCTACCGAAAAACCTGTCAGTGGGCGATGTAAGGCTACCTAGTAGTGTCATTGTCAAACACATCCTCGATACAGATCATGCATCGACTTAGACATAGCTTTCAAGGTAATCGATAGGCAAAGGAGCTGCAATCCGTCGACTGAAAGCAGACTTATGTGTACAGAAGGAGTTAAGGGTTCACCCTGTATTGTCTTGATCAAATATCCTTTTCCTGCAGCTTTACTGTTTTATTGTCTTACACATTATTCACAAACATTATTTATTTTCCGTCATTTTCGACTTATTTAAATCAATTAAATTTTGATCATGGTTTTTAGCATATCCTTTTCCATTTCTCCACTATTAATTCACACACTTTCCACACCATCTTTATTGTTCTCCAAGTTTCATCAAAATTCCTACTGATCGACTTTATATTCTGACTTGCTATGTTGCTTGTTACTTGTATTGGTTGATTAGGCCATGAACTCTGTCATTCTTCTCTGCTCCCATATGTATGAATCGATATCCATATGTGAAAAATGTATTTGGTGTTAATTTTATTCATGAAATGTATCACATAGCTTATGCCAGACACTGATAGCTCACTGTAAACGATTTTAAGTTTGGTGCTTACGTGTAAGATTTAGAGCAGACGAAACGAATTCGATTCATCCACAATGTTTGATATTCTCGCCTTGCAACAATTTATAAAGTGTACTAACTGTATGTAATTTCTGATATTTCCACTTCTTTTTATCCTGAGGTTTGTTGTATATGATTCGATGAAACATATTTTAAAGATAGTGGAAAGCATAAACAGTTGTAAAGATTCTTATGGTGATCGTTGTAGAAATCATAGGATGGATTTTATGCCATAGAATTGATTCTCAAGACTTAGTTTTGTTTGGTTCTTCTATATTTTCTTAGAGTATTATTCATTAAAACAAATAATTTTTCGATGATTCTGTTTTCATGTTTTGATTGGAAACTTGCTGAAGGAAATAATCAAATATGATAGAACAAGGCTTGATTCGATTAGGCGTATGATCACACCAGTTTTACTAAATTAATGAATTAGTAATGTGATTGTATTCGAAATTCAACTTAAGGAAATTTGTGAGAATTTGAATAGTCTAGCAAAATCTTACATAAGCTCATAATCTTAGATTCGTTTTTAATACCAGATGCGTAGCTAGTGACATTGAAAGTCAAAACAGTAAACCGAATTTACCATTTAAGCCGTAATCTTTTGTAATAAACGTGAGCAATGGACTATGTCGAATGGTTTTTGATAGATATCTTTGTCTTAACCTTTCAGGTGATTAATATTAGCAAAATCAAAGCACATACACCAAATTTACGAGTGGTCAACCTATTTGGCATCAATTTTATCGAAGATAGTCATGTGGAATTGTTAGCTAGCAACTGTATTCATTTAGAGTGTGTTGCTCTAAACTTTTGTTTAAATGTAAAAGGGTCATCATTTACCCTATTGTTTGCCAACTGTAAAAAAGTTAAAACATTACTACTTGAACATTGTGGTAAGCTTTACTGCTTGAGTTTTATTCTTTTTTCACCAGCTGTTACAATTTTTGCTCAAGTTTAAGCTTTCTTTAACTTTAATATTGACAATTATAGGGTAGTTAGCAGTTTACTAAAGTTAAAATAGCTTGAAATGTTGAAAAATCCACTCTTTAATTAAGAATTTGAGTTGTATGAATGAAATGCAATGAGATGATTTGATTTCATCAGGCTTTAGTCGGAATAGCAGAGTTTAAAGAAATTGGCAACCTGGTCTACTAGAGTTTATCTCTTCTAACTTTAAGCCTGACAGAGAATTACTACAGTGAATCGAGGCTGATATACGAGGGGATAAGCAGACTTATGCCATCTAATACTGAATTTACAGTTTACTATGACCTGTATGATCTATCTACTTTTGATAAAAAAGTAAATCAGATACTTAAGCTTCGTGGAACAGTATTGATATCAAACAATAGTGCTAATTTGAGTCTGGTAGTATTGATGTATAGTTACTTGCAGTGGAATCCAGGAAGCGTGTTTTGTCCTATTTGCGATTTGTCAGCTGGATGTACCTGCCTTTAAGTGGACGATGTTGTTCCCATTCAGAAACAGATGTCCAGGATTCCACTGCCAGCTACTATCCATCAATAATAGTAAGCCTAAACTAAAGGCAATATCGAGCCATCTGCGCAGTAGCCCATAAGTCAGAAGAGACTGATAGATTCAGTCCAACCAGCGAGGGGAAATGACAAACAGTACTAACAGTGGTGATAATCAGTAATGTTTCGAATGATGACGATATTAGGCTGGTCATAGAATGTTGAAGTTACATATTTGTGTATTAATACCTGCAAATTCGTTTCCTTATAATATTCAAATATCTGAGTCAATGAAATTTCAAACAGTATTAACAAAAGTAGTTCTTACATTGTCACCATGCGTTTTTTATGTGTACACTGTAAAACAGAGAAAGACATTTGGATGCCACGAAATATAGGGTAGCGATCGTTAATCACTAAACAACAGCCAAAGAACTGTTTTTTAGGTTATGACAGCTTAGAACTGAAAACTTTACAATCATGTTTTATTTCGCTGCAAATATTATTCAGCTTCATTCAACAACTATATGAAGACGCCACATGCCAAGTAGTTCACAATGGGAAGCTCAGTGATGCTTTTTGAACTGAAGACAGGAGTAAGACAAGGTTGTCTACCATCACCCATGATATTCTTGATTGTAGTGGACTGGATCATGCAACAAATTGTGAGGAGCGAGAGGAGGGGGATACGCTGGACCAGGGAAAAGAACCTAGAAGATTTGAATTTCACCGGTGACTTGTATCTGATGTCACACTAACTGGAAGATCTACAGGCGGAATCTAACAAGTTGACAGAAGAGGCGAGGCAGGGCAGCGAAGACGGGAGTTCAAGTGAATATAGGGGAGACAGAGGTGATGAAGATACCCAACCAACAACAACAAGCTCCAATCACCATCAACGGGAGAAACCTAAAGAAAGTGGCCTCCTTCACCTATCTAGGCAGCACTGTTTCAACTACAGGCCCGAGGGTGACATGGAGGAGATCGTGCGAGGGGAAATGAGAGCTTGTGGGCTATCGTGAAGCCAGGTTCAAAAGATTTCAGAGAACAGAGCGCATTGGAGATGTGCTACTGAAGCCATTTGTTCCATTAGGAACCCAAGGGACAAATAATAAATTAATCAGATGATTATTTATCCATCATTCCGTTTTAAGTCACTCTGGAGTCATTAACAGCTTCTGTCATATAATTATCTTGATTATTTGCATTGATAGTTTACACACTTTAATGATTAATACAAGTGAAAGATGCGCAAGATAATGAATGCTCTCGATTGCATGCAATCATTTGTCATCATTACGACATAAAATAACTTGACAGACCGACTGACTGCATTTCAGTGTTGAGAAATTAAGTTCTATTAGTAATGAGATTCATGTATATTTGCATTATCTCCTGTTTACCGGCCAATTTATTTGGCTGGTGTAGCTAAGTAGGCATGACTTTTTAATAACAACTCATTTTGCTGATGATTTAAGTGACCTCTTTGCAAACCTAAAGGAGCGTATTGTTGTTGAATGTTAAGATGCATGAATTCTACATCAAGAAGGCCTTCTTATGTACTTTTAACTCCTTTTATGTTCACATTTTCTGCATGTATATACACTTTCCGTAAAAGATATGTATTTTTGGATCCAACTACATTAGGTAGTCCTTATCTAGTAATCGTACAAGATTATCAATATTTATTCGAAACGGAGGACTTTTGGTGCATACGTAATAAAAATATGAGCTTTATTCAGTGCTTCACTTCTATGCTGAACTGGTTAGTATGCAAGCCTATATTACTCCATAGATCTGATCATATTTTTATGTTTTTCTGAGTTTCTATATGCGTAATTAATTCGTTAGTACTCTCAGCTTTCTGTTTGTCACATTCTTGAATCTATTTGATAAAGGTCTTCGAGATGAATATATGATGGCCGCACCATGGGAAACTTCTAGCATTTGTGAACTTGATATTACATCTACAGAATTATCTGCAGAATGCCTTGAAAATTTCTTGACACGTATACCATATTTCACTTACTTGGCTGCTGGACATACAGATTTCTTTACTGATCACGTGAGTCTTGGAGAGACATTTTTAAGAATTCCATATTGGATTTGTTTATTTGATTTATAACACACAACGATACAGTATTACTTACTTGATGACATTTCAAGCATCAATTATTGGTCATAATCATACCAATGTAATCACACTACTTTGGACATCTGGATTTTATATTCCTGTCAACTCGCATTCTTTGTTCTTATTGATAGTAAAGTTTTCCATATCTCTGGTGTTGCGTCATTCCTACTATATGTGTTTGGTTTAAATTCGATGAACAAAGATTCAGTAATCAATCTCTCTCTCCCTCCACCTAATTATATTGGACTTAAGCACGGTGGTTTTATCCTACCATATTGTGTGGTTGTCTGTTACAACAGATGAGTGTTTTTCTAGGTAATTTATCTCATTCGGGTCTGTCATTCCATTCTTAGCTAGTTTCGTATGTTCCAATATTCTAACTGACCCTGACCGGTTAGTGTGATCTATGTACTTGACCTCTTAGTCATTACATGGAATTTGATAGATCAGATTCTTTTGCTGAATTGTTTCTATCGAATCCTTAAGAATGTTTGGTAGATTGCGTACAAATTTGTAAGTAAATAGTTCGTTCTTAAAGATTCAACTACTATGTGATGAATTTTGTGTTTTTAAAGCATACGATTTAAATAAATTCTCATAAATTTATTGGTTTGATTCAGTAATGCACTTGGAAAGAATTGTCACAAAATTTAAGGCTTACAAAGTCATGATGGTATTACTCTTTTGACAAATGACATATCAAAATGATAGTTGAATTACACAACTTAACGGGTTTCATTTCCGTTCAAACCACTGAGTATTCTGTGGGAACATTTTGTGAAAGAAAGACACTAACTTGTACACCATAATGACCATGGTAACTTAGAAAGCTGCATGACACAACATTGAATTTATACTTTATTGAAGTCCTTAACTTTGCTATTTTTCACGTTTCGTAAAGGTATTAAAATGAAATGCACTGTCGTAATATTTGATTCACATTTTTTTGAGGAACTCTTCAAAACATAATTTGACAGCAAGTGAAGTCATCTAACATCTGACCTCACTCACAGACTAGCTTAGTTTTGTGTAGTTAAAGTAAGATAATATCACTGACCGGTTTACTATTTACCAGATATATTCATTGCTTCTAACACTTTCTTATTTCAGATATTAAATACGCTTTGTGAAATAGGTAAATTTAAACAAGTCAAGGCTATTGACTTGAGTCATACGCCAGCACTGAGTGAACAGTCAGTAACAAATTTTCTAAAACTTTACGGTCATCAGTTACATGGTCTTATGTTACATGGGAAAGCTGCCTTGGCTGAATACTTTTGGACAACAGTTATTCCATATCTTGGAGCAATAAAGTATGTATCCTTTTGTTAATTGACAAGATGGTTGTTAGTTGATCTTTTAGTAATACAAGAGTTGGTTTGATTGTTGAAAAAAAGTTTGAAGAAGCTTTCAGTAATTAACATCCAATAGTCTGAATACGTTTTAAGTGTACAGAATGAAAATATTTGTGATATATTCCTGGTTTTATGAAAGTAGTTCTCACAAGGTTGCGATCCAAAAAGTATAATTTAAAGGGATTTTAAAAACCCCGTCTTACCAAAACAGTAAATTACCCATATTAAGATAAATGCTACTGAATATCTTGAGCACTTAGATACCATGCAGATTTTGCGAGCCAGATCAGAGCGATCTAATCATCTGACGGCTATTTGGCTAGTTTGAGGCCAAGCTTATCAGCACTATTTCAGAACAAATTCAGTTCACAGGACCGGATCATTCACATTTGTTTAGCTGACTAGCAAAAACAAACTTATACTTCGCAAAATATAGAAATATTTGTTGTAGCCAGGATCAGTAAGCTTTTCAAAGCAGGAATTTATTAGCTGTTGCCAGTCAGACAAAATCTATCATTTTGTTCATATATGAAGCTGTGGTTAACAAGCTTATGCAGTTGACTTTAAATTAACGGCTTTGCTGTTCAAAGCTCACTTCACCAAATTCTAGTTAGACAACCAGGTACTAACTTAACATTGACACGGTGAGCTTATCTTATATATTTGACTTTCTCAACATCATGGGACTACTACTTAGCATCTGCTCAGCAATTCATTTTAATCTTGATGTCTTGAAAGATTTATCCAGAGAATAAGAGAGAAAATGGTTCATCTTTTAAAAGTATGAAATTTTTCAGTAATACTAAATTTAATCCGAAGATCTTTAATAATTAAGAGTAAGAAAAAGGTATGCATACTTAACCATAAAGCTTACCGTTATGAACTGTTCACTGGAAAACCTAAATTGCCTTCCAAACACAGTGATTACTGAGAATAATCATACTTCTGCAGAACATTGCAGGGAATCAGAAGTCACCTCATACATCGTTATGTATTAATCAGCACAGAGTGCTTCACTTACTTGTTTCATAAGCTGTTGATGTCAGTGAATATGCGTATATTGAAACTAAATCTGATTGGTTGGGTTTCGCTTGAAAATGAAAGGTAGTTAGCTGTGCTTCACCAGCGCTCAGTACTACATTTAATAATTGCCATAGCTTGTTGTAGATTAAAATTCACTAAATTTACAAAAATATTGCTGATTTGAAGACTAGTTCGTCTGAAACAGGCTGATTTGCTAAGCACTTTGCAAACCTACTCGTGAACGATAAAAGTAAATGTGGTTAAATCTACTATACCTAAAATTGTTATTCAAAATGAAAATAACTACAAAAAGCCTGCGTAATTGGTTATTTAATCACTGTGATTGAAATTACCAGGTACAGCAAGCCAATGGAAAGAGCAGTTGTTCCTCTTATTCAGTAAATTTGATGAAGTTGTCATAAAGCAGATACCTAAGAAAAAAGTTCACCTTTACCCAAATGATAACGCAAGGTTTGTTTAACTACGTTTATCTTAATGGGCTTTGATGAATTTTTAAAATAAACTTTTCAACATTTTAACAAATTTTTTAATTCACTAATGGTTATTAACTGTTGAAAGGTATACATTTTAGTCAAATATATCGTATTCTTCTTAATTTTTGTTTTATTTAATCAGGGTATGTGTACTTGGTGCATCGCATGGTTGGTTTTTCAAATACAACACAAGAGTACACATTGATAAAGTTCTTGAAAGTTTTGCTGGATGCTGCCCTAACTTGGAAGCTTTAGAAATACAGTGGGATCCAGATACCATTCGTTTCAGTGATAAAAGTAGAAAATTCATAGATCGAATAAGGTGAGTTGATTGACGATATAATTGTATAGTAAGATGGAAAAGTTTCTGCAAATATCAGCGTCGTGAAAAATGTCAGTCTTAATCAGGTTCTAAACATAGAAATGTATTACCACTGCGTAATTGGAAGCATCATCTATTGTGACTAAGATAAATTGTAACATAGATGGTGAACAGTTTGACATTTTCACATATTTCTTGTACCTAAAAGTTTATAAGCGCTTCAATTTTGGCTACAGTAAACATACATTCCAATCATCCTTCTACTGAGCGGGTATTTAAATTAACTGATAATGGCAATTCGTTTTGCCTTCGTTATGTAAGCTGTTGAGTTGCTGCTTGTAACATCTAAGCATCTATGCTAATTAGTGTACAAATTTCGCATTTATGAACTCAAAAGTGATAAGAACAACGGTATTTTTTAGACAATAGGCTCAAAATAAAAGCTGTGTATAAAACACTTGTTCTTTAAATGAAAATTTTCTTTTTATTGGCCTACATCCATGTAAATTTCTCTTACACTATGTAAGTGACTAGTTTCCGTTTCTCGGTTGATGAAACAACCCCACTAGAGTGTTATATCATACTATGTACAATACATGGTTATTAAGCTAGAAAGAAATACTAGTTGAACAGTCCTTTCCGAAAAACCGATTGTGTTTAAGGTTGTAGCAAACCTAAAGGATTTAAGATAAAGTTCTCAAATTTTACTTGATTTATAACTGGGCATGTGTATTATTTAATTAGAACACCCTCATTAAGGCCAGTGTATTTTTCAGCATCAATTTATGCCTATGAATGAAAGTTATACTCACAAGAGTACCCGAGCTTTCTTAGTCTTTGATTCAAAAAATGATGAGCTAATAGACCGGTTTGGATTTCCTAGTCACCGGTTTAGGTGTAAATATCAAGTTCAAAATGTTACCTAGTTATTGTTGACCCTAAACCTGTTTCATAGAGATAAGTCTGGTAAATATGAACATCTGTTGTCTCGTATAATGAATTGATATTGATAAAGTAAGCAAGCAGTTGGTTGCATCAAGTCATCGATGCTCGTAACCACCAGTTTTATTCACCGCCTATTTTGAGCAGGAAATGATATTATTATGATAAATTTAAGAAGAATTGGAAGACTCTATGAAGATCTAAAAAATGTTTCGTTTGATGTGATGGCTTACAATATCTTTCTTTATTTTCTGTTGATTGTGACATGTAGCTGATTAAGAATTTTTCATATATACATTTCTTGATTAAGCTAAACTGAATGAGAATTGCATACACACCTCCAGTTTTATTTAGGCTGTGTATTCTGTAGCCACCAATTTTGAAATAATTCCTGCTAATTAACTTGCAAAATCCAACAACAAAATACAGTGCAGTGTAGTATCCCATCACTTGGTTTCATACCCAAGTCACAAACTTGGTCGATAGACTTTGATCAGTGCTGAGCAACTAAGACTTGAAGGCTATTTCGGTCACTTAACAGTGACTATTTTATGTAACTTGTAAACGCTGTTGTAAAACTTAAAACTTGAAAATAGTTACTTTTTGAGGACTAAACGCTAATTCAATGTAATAGAATTTCAATCATTTTATTCCTCTCTATCTGATTTCATTTATATTTTGCTTTTACCTACTTTTTCAGAATCAAATGTCCTCGACTGAAGTCTTTAACCCTTAGTGATGGGAAATATTATGAAATGGTTAAAGGGAACTTTGAAAGAGCAGAATGCCCACGTGTTGTACGCACTACAACCACATATAATACGAGTATTATCAGTTTACTGCGACGTTATAAAGATTTGAGGTTTAACTAGCTTTGAAGTATTATATATAATATATATATATATATATATTTTATAAAGTATCGTGAAAAGTGGAAGAAAACAATCAAGTGAGTTAGTTTTTTAAAGGCGATTATAAGTTTCAGTTTGTTTGACAAAATTATAAACTGTTATCAGAGTAATGCATTGATCACTGACCAAACAAAAAGTGGGCCGCGGCATTTAAATGTATTCATTATTCTACCGAAATGTTGGACTGATACTTTAGGATATCTATATACATGTAAACTGAGATATTTCTTACATAACACTATTCTGTGTTTCGTTCTTCATGAAACGTGGGATTATCTTATGTATTTTTCAGAAAAAGAATATGTATTGCCAAATTTTTTATAGGAATAATTTTTAATTTAATTCCAAACTTTTTGAATGTAGCTTGGCATAACTAAGAGCTAAAAACTTTCTTTTTCGTACATTATATGAGTAGATAGAATAAATGTGATCAAACTATGTAAATGACAAGGAATAAGAGAATTGTAGCCTTTTTCTTATGTAGTTATTTTATGATAATAAATAAATGTGTTTTATGCAAAACTTTCTTGCTAAAAACAGGTGTCCGATAAGATTTCTTCTAAGATTATTCTCTAAAATGATAAGCAATTCACCATAGTTACTCCTGGTCTATGAAGTTAGTGGTATTCGAATTGAGAAAGACTAAAAACTTAGCGGTTTGTAAGGTACACAGATAGGTTTCACATGATAATCTACTATCGCTGTAATACAAACTTCTATGTTTTGTCTTGTCTTAATAATTCCGCAGAACTGATAGCTTGTAAGTAAATTACAACAAAATTTATAATAAAAAGGATTTAATTGTTCTGACAAATGCCATATAACAAAATGAACCAGTGAATGGATTGTCAAAATCTTTAATGTCATTGTCTTTTCTGGGCATTCCTAGTGATTCTGGTCTCATTTAGTTAGTAACAGGATGTTAAATAATTCCATATTGATGGGTGCGCACTGCTGAGGGGTTCCAGCTATGGATTGCTCCCTGGTTTTCACTGCTTTTCCAACTGGTGTCAGTCCATCATGAATACCAACTTGAATTAGCAGATTAATTCAAAATGTGGAATTTCTACACTGGTTCAAATTAGATGGTTTGTGACGAATCTAAAGAGAAACCTGAAATAACTTAGGAAGATAACATCAAAATCTTACTGTTTAAAAATATTACACTGAAAGAGTTTGAGAAGATTGCCAGATTACATTTATGTGCTCCTCATTAGGTATTCTGCTCGTATAAACTAATAATACGTAGAAAACATCTTTCCTTGAAAATGACAGCGTGTAATCACGTATTCTTGACTTTATAAAATATAAATTTTCCCAATTCAGTATTTAATAAACAATGTGAAGGAAGAATATTCTTCTCATTAAATCCTCATCAGCTTCCACAGTCACAAAATTGATTTGTTCAACACTATACAAGCCAAGTTTTAGTAAATATATTTTTGAAATGCAACATGAATTAGGGATAGTAAAGTGACCAAATTCTTCAGTTCTAATTTTGCCCGTCTTATGATAATTTAGATACAAATTACGAATGTGATTGAGAAAGGAAAAGAAGAGATAACAACCAAGGATAAGCTAAGCAGTCTTTATTTTAAGGGAGACCAAGGAAAAGGTAACGTCCGAAACGGTCCTTCTGAATGAAGAGTTCAGGTCTAGTCAATTCTGCTGTTATAGTTCCACCTGTATGGAGAAGGCATAGGTCAGCTACAAGTGAATAGAATACTAAACCGACAATTCAGTACTGACTATGTCTTTCTGAGTATGTAAGAACTGCTCCTAAAATGTACAATAAATGTCCAGTTCGTGTTGAATATTAATTTGCTTAGGTAAGTTGACGGAGGAAGTGAAGACAGAAGTAAGACAAGGCTGCCACCTACCATCACCGATGATCTTCCTGGTTGTGGTAGGCTGGATCATGCAGCAAATTGTGAGGAGTGAGAAGATTGGCATACGTTGGCTGGACCGATGAAAAGACCCTAGAAGATTTGGATTTCGCCGATGACTTACGTCTAATGTCTCACAAACTTGAAGATCTACAGGAAAAATTCAACAAATTTACAGAAGAGGTGAAGCAGTGAAGATGGGACTCCAAGTGAAGGTAGAGAAAACAGAGGTGATGAAGATACCCAACCAACACCAACAAGCACAAATCACCAGCAACAGGAAAAACCTAAAGGAAGTTGTCCCTTTCACCTACACCTACCTAGGCAAGGCAGCATCGTTTCAAGTACAGGCGGCACAGGCACAAATGAGGATGTCAAAGCAGTTAGGATCGAAAAAGCAAGACAGACTTTCATGAGTCCGAAATCAGTGTGGAGATCTACTGCACTGCACCGCACTCAGCACGAAGAACAAGATCCGGATTTTCAACACTAAGTCAGTCAAGCCAGTGCTTCTACATGGGTTTAGAGACTTAGCGCGTCACAAAAAGCATTTCCAACAAACTACTGAAATTCATCAACAGCTGCTGCCTACACTCACTCGATACTAAAGATCCGATGGCCAGAATAAAAAGAATAAGCAACAAGGAACTCTGGCCTGCCAACGAACCAACCAAGAACCCATCGCCCAACAAATATGCAGAAGTGGGAATGGATTGGGCTTACACTGAGAAGACCATTCGGAGACATGACGCCCCAGCCCCTAGAGTGGAATCCAAACGGGAAACGACGAGTTGAGAGTCCGAGGGTGATATGGAGGAGATCATGTGAGCAAGAAATGTAAGCTTGTGGGTAGTCGTGGAGCGAGGTTCAAAGGACCGCAGAGAACAGAATGCAATGGAGGGGTGCTACTGAAGCACTATGTTCCACTAGGAACCCAAGGGAAAAATAATAATAAGTTGACTGAGTAATTATGGGTTGTCCATTATGACATATATTTACAGATGCAAGTTTTAGAAAGTCAGAAATAAGCCCTTTGAATGATGAAATTGCTACTATGGAGTTTAACTCCTGAGACATAAATGTTACATTTTTAGCCGTTATTAAGTGTCTCTGGACTAATTCAATTCTGAATTATTTCTGTGGCGTTAATTCATTAGTTCATTTTGCCTATCAAAGTGAAATAAGCAGTTACACACATTTTCTGGACGTATTAATGACAATAAAAGATATCTTCATCAATGACTTAGGGACGGATGCCTATCATAAATTTGCCTTGAAGAGTGTTTGGAGAAACACCTATCTGTGTACCTGTGATATTTTCAGTGAAAATGTATATCCTGAAAAGCTCATCACACCAAAACAAGCTGAAATTAATTCCTAACGTCGGCTGATGGCAGTGGAAAAGAAACCCATATTTTTGCATCTGTAATTCTAGGTAGACAGTGTAAATGACACCTATCAGAACGCCTTACCACAGTAGTGAATAGATCATTTTTTAAGGTCACCTATAGTGGCCCATATTTTCTCCACATAGGTGAAGTTATCACAAAAAAATCAACTTGACCTGAAATCTACATTCGGAAAGATTGTCCTCAGGTATTACCTCTTCCTCGGTCTTCCATAAACCAAAGACTACCTACTTCATCCGTGATCGTTATCTCTTCGCTTGCTTCCTCCATTATAATTGTATTGCACATATAAGTTGTCTTAACATTACAAAATTTGAACCTGAAGAAGTTGACTTATTTATCATCATTAGTTTACACTTTATTTCAAAACTATATTTACCGCAAACTTGACCTGTATTATGCTGAATAGTTCCATTTTATGACTTTGAAAGCTAATGTGAATTTCCCAAAGAGAATATTCCACCTTCACATCACCTTTCACTTATTCTTCTCAAACAGTTTAAGGAAGATTTGCAAGTAATAATTCGTGAGATAGTTGCAAACATTTATCCAAATGTCTTGGAACTAGGCTTTTTTATCTTATCATTGTCATGGAAGAAATACATAGTATTTTTAAGACGGGAGAAGTGTTTACCAAGGTTCCCATGGTGGTTGTTGTGTTGATTAGGAATTAGAGAGATGATAAAGTTTTGGAAGGTATTTGGTCGCCAGTTGTCAAGAGTATATTTCTGCCAACATCAAAAGAACTGTAATATGACATTCGTAGACAAAATAACAGGGAAATGAAACTCTCTCAAAATCTAAAGTATGCTTAGAAATGCAGAGTTAGGTCTAAGAAAAATGCGTCAGCAACTCCAAGTAACTTTTATTGAACACTCTATAAACTAAGTAAATAAAAAGATAGTGATCTTCGAAAACTACTTCCCGTTATCATAATTTGTGAGTCATAAGATATTTGATATATTTTTTATCTACCCCATGGTCTATTTCATACTCTTTTTAGAGCTTTCCTTTCCAAATCACGAGAGGAATATTACTAAATTGGTAGTGTAACTTTAGGTTCAAATTCTAAATTCTAACACCATTATCTGTTCTGCATACCTGAACGAAACATTTTAGTCTCTCCTCATTAAGTCGCACATTCTATAGCACAAACTTATGCCTTTTTTGAACTGACAGTTTAAGTTCAAGACTCTTCATCATATATTTGCTTGAGTAAACATAATTCATATCCATTCCTTCTGCTTCATTTAGTGTCACTAACGTGTATAGTAATTCTTCTAAACTTTAGCCAACTTGTGAATGATTGCACCAACTCAATTTTGCATAGCAAATTAGCTCATAGCTGTTAGCTAGGATTCATTACTTTTTGATCTTATCTTTACAGAAGTGATACTTCATTGTATTATGTTTGAAGCTGGTTATTAATCCTTTTGTAAGAAAAGTAACGCACAGAATTGTAACATTTTATTAAGAGGTTTTGGATATCTCATATACTCAGAATCTTATCAAGCGTGTCATGTGGGTGTAACAAGTAACAAATTTCATAAGGGTATTTGAAATATTCAGTTTGATGGATAGCAGTTTCGTTACGTTAATGTAGACAAATGTGAATATTGATAATAGACAGACAAAAATCATCGTCTGAAATGTCAATAGAATTACTTAATTAGATGGTGCAGGTGTGAATCATACGTTAAACATTTATTGTTTAGCCACTGATTACCAGGTAAGAATCTTTCTCAAATTACTTCAACTCTTGGTTTTCATACATAATATGTGACTAGTAGCTTACTACATAAACAATAAGTTGAACTGCCGAGTTATTTCAGTAGAAAGCTATTGATATGTGAAATCATTTCTTCCGTAAGTTAGTCAGCTACCGAAAACTTTGTGAACAAGATGTATGTAGCCTTATACGAAAGGCACAACAATGTTGAGGCTTGTCTAAGAAGAAAAATATCTTAATGAATGAGAAAAGACCATTAGGTGTGGCCGTCTGTGGTATTGGAACATTGTGAAAAGCAGTTCAAGGGTGAGGACCCCAAGAAGTCTGCGGAGAAAGTACAAACTGTCGTTCGCCCTGGTTGTCATGTCTTTCTGGCTTGAGCTGATGTCCAGGGTGCTGGACACGTTGAACTCCAGAACTTTTTCGGTTGAAACTGTAATGATAGGATGGTTGGTGAACATGCACTTTAAGTCGGCCGTCCTTGCTCCATAGGTATTG